GCTTGGACTGGCCACATATACAAGAGAAGCAGCTGAGGCAACAATGTTTCTTCTGATTGTGGATTCCGAATCCCACCAAGCAGGGTGTCGCTGTGACACTGTGCTTGGATGATTCAAATTCATCAAAAGGACCAATACAGTTGAGACGATACGGGACTTGGTGGCATAGCCGCTTGAAGAGAAAGTGTTTCTACCTTTTGGCTTGTCAAAAGAACGCGTAGAGCAGAAGATATAGAAACGATAGGCAGTACAATTTTGAGCGAACCAAGGCTTTAGATTTTAGAGTGCCACATAGTTGGACACAATTTTGCCGGCAGCACCGAAAAAGATTTGCGTCCTCTGTGATGGAGCATGCATGTGTTTCTTGAGCCCAAAGGAAATCAGCTCTTGGTGCGAGCAATTAATGCTATTGTTTTCGCACCCACGTCGCAGATCAAAATTCAAGCCATGTGCTGCTGACGGCTACAGCCGGGAAGAATGGCTGCGTGCCACAGTGGCCAACTGCTATATTCGCGTTCCGTCGCGTTGCAGCATATAATGTTGTATGTAAGTCCTCCGCCATGCCCTTTCCAGTCGGCTTTGGGGGGGTGCTGTTCTTGGCTGGGTCTTCATCTTTTGTGCCGTCTCCAGTCCAACCTCATCGGCATTCTCCGCCTTCTTCCCTTCCATTGCATCCCGGCAGCTTACGCTTGCAGTTCCCCAATGCCTTTGTTGGTGAAGCCGAAATCCAATTCCACAATGGCCAAATGATCTACAACTACCTCTGCTAGACTCATGATGTGTGAGCGCGATGAAAGTTTCCAAACTTTCTCTTGAAGTCAGCTCAGCAGTGGCAAATCCAGACACCGCACGGCTATCACCTTAAGACGCAATGCGAAATTCCGAAATTCACCGGCTGCGCCTTGACGCTGGAGATCTTAACCTTTCACTCAAGATGCACCTGCTCCCATGTGCTGGACTTGAGTGAGATAGGCAGGGGCCCCAGAAGTCATTGGGCTGCAGACATTTGGAAAAATATTCCCATGCGAAAGACGGCAACTCTGGCAACGGCTTCAGGTGTTCTTAGGGGGGCTCAGATAGGAATTCAAAACGCTGATGGCGAAATCAGGGCCTGCGGCGCGCACACCGCCACAGGTTCTGCAACAATGTTCTCCAGCACTTCATATTTCACAAGCCATCAGTTGAAGTTTGCTGGTGCGACGACAGAACGTGTGCAGGTGAAGCATGAATCCTGAGCCTTTCGGTTCCCTATCGCTATCGGCTTGCAGTGTGTTCTTGAGCCGCTCAGCATCAGTGAAAACGGCCTTACTTGATTGCAATGTGACAATGTGTTCCCTCAATTGCCCGGTCATCTTCTCAGGGACGGTGCTTGCCCGTGACGGGCGGGATGACTATAGCGAAGCATTGTTGCCAAGCAAACTTCACCTGGAACAGAGGAAGCGCCTGCTCCCATTTAATCTTCTAGTACTGGTAGATGGTCTGATAATTAACGAGTAAGTCCCACAATCCAAAACAGTAATTTAATGAAAGCATTGATAATCGATGATTATAGCTGTTACCAGGTGTCATTGTGTTTGCAACTCTTTAAACTTAAGCTGTGGGTGCTACTGTGGTGGTTCATTCTGCTTCAACCTGGATGGACCCATCGCCACTGGTGGCGATGATGTAGGGGCTTGTATTTATCCACGGATGATCGGGCTGAATTCTGATGGCCTCAAAAAAAGGTTCGGTAATGTTTTTTTTTGCAATTCCTTTTGCTGTCATATTATTGGTCGATGCGAATTTGCTTCGCAACTGGAGAAAAACAACCAATAGCCAACCCCACGGTCAAACTGCTGTTCCTACATAGTGGCTGTTGTTTCGAAGTTGTGGGAACGGCCCTGTTTACACTCTACACTCCACACCTTACACTTCACACCTTACACATCTTTACACTGTACACTCCACACTTTACACTTTACACTCCACACTTTACACTTTACACTCTACACTCCACACTCTACACTCCACACTTTACAGTCTACACTCAGCATTCTACACTTCACAGTTTCCACTCCACACTTTACACTCCACACTTTACACTCTGCACTCCACACTCTACATTTTACACTTTACACTTTAAATGTACAAGACTGTGTAAATAAGCTGTTTCAGAAAAGTGTTCTGCATGACTGCATTTCCATGTGCTTCGACATCATCTCCGTTAACATACGTGTGAGCATTCGGGTTCGTGGGCTGCATCTTGTTTTTTTGGGACAAACCCATTTTACCCATTCAATTTGCCACTTTGAGGCAGAATTTGCTGTTGTTGATAAAAAGAATCACTCGGCCGGTGCTCAAGCCCGAGAATGTGGACCCCTTTAGGTATAAATCTGATTGGTGGTTTGGAACATGTTTTATTTTCCCTCATATATGGGATAATCCTTCCCATTGACTAATATTTTATGGTTAAAACCACCAACCAGAAGCCGAATTATAACTAGCATAATCATAAACCCAAGTTATCCGAGCGCCCCTGCGCGTGATGGAAATCAACAGTTTTCATCACTTCAGCCAAATTTCACACGCTGTTGTGGCTCTTGAGCGATAAATACTTTGAGAAAAAACGGGTCAAAAATTTGAGATCCTTTTCTGGGGAAATATGAAATGGTGCTTGGTGCTTTCTAGTGGTTCATCATTGTTAATCTAACAAAAAAAACAGGAACATTTAAGATGAGTACCTTTTTCGGAATTTGTTGCATAGCAATAGCTGTATGGAAAATCACCATGTTTCATTTGGTAAATCATCAGGTTATTTCACCGGGACAATTTTCAATAGCAAACTGTTAAACTACCAGAGGCGGCTACCCCAATGTATGTCAGTTTTAATGCGGAAAATGACATGAATCATTGAAGCACTGGATTTGGGGGGCTACTTTGACTGGGTGTCTGGTTTCAAAGAAAACAATGCAGTGATTGTTTGCTAAACGATTTGGGATATTGAGCAGACAAATATTGAGATATAGCCAATGGTTGACAGCACTTCACGCTGAAAGCATCCCTAAAAAGTTTGCCCTTGGCCTTGTCCTAGAATCCATGTCAAATCCTGAACAAGCAATGCTTCAAGTACATGTCTCGTTCCCAAGTGGTTGCGGCAAGACTCTGGCGCTTCCACAAGACTCTACAGTGGGCGAGCTGAAAGTTCTAGTGCCAAAGTCATTCAGGCAAGGATTTCTGAAGCTTGTCACAGAGAAGGGACACGCCCTGACCAATCCTGAAGACTCTTTGCTCACTGCGGGAATCCAAGAAGGAGCGCACTTAACAGTTGTTGCACAACAGCCCAAAGTGGCAGCAACAGCAGGAGCTTTTGCAATATGGTGCTGTGGGGGTCATGGAATTGTGACTTGGGGCAGCCCAGAATTCGGTGGTAACAGCTCTGCAGTTCAAGATCAGCTCAAACATGTGCGGCAAGTTCAGGCCACAGGAGGGGCATTTGCTGCCATCCTGGCAAATGTGTCCGTGGTTACCTGGGGTGATCAAAGCTATGGTGGCGACAGCTCTGCAGTTCAAGATCAACTCAAAGATGTGCAGCGAGTGCAGGGTACACATGGTTTTTTGGAGGTGCATTTGCCGCAATCTTGGCAGATGGGTCCGTCGTTGCTTGAGGCAATCAAACATTGGGGTGGCAACAGCTCTGTAGTTCAACATCAGCTCAAGAATGTGCAACAAATTCAGGCCACAGGAGTGGCATTTGCTGCCATCCTGGCAGATGGATCCGTCGTTACCTGGGGCGATCCAGACTTTGGTGGCAACAGCTCTTCAATTCAGCTGCAGCGACTATTGTAGCTCTCTCCTTCCTATTGTCGTCGCATGTCATGTTGGCAGATTGACCCATGGGAACCGCATGGAACTTTCAGAAAGGGCGCCTTGCTGGTGAAGAGTTTTTGGCTTGACCTAAGCCCACCAACACGGATCCATCTCCAAATGCGGGAAGCAAATCACCTCCAAAAATGGGGGGATTCTCCTTGAAATTGCCAGATCTTGCCAGATATTGCGGTGTCTGTTGGAGCTTCTGGGGAAGCTGGGCCCTTTCGGGAACAGGAGTTGGATCATTTTGAATCTTCATCAACCAACCGTTGGATGATTTAGCCTCTGCTTATTTGACGTAGCGAACTGGGAAATCACCATTTTTAACAGCTAAATCATCATAAATCATCTATTTCTATGGGCCATTGTCCATAGCTAACCGTTCAATAACCGGGTAAATCCGTGGGAAAGTTGTTTGTTTCTTGTCGTTTGGTGCCATTCGACCAGCTGGACAAAGTCCAAGTAGATTAAAAAACCACAAATCTACTGCTTTGGGAATCTGTTCTCCGTTCATCTGTGTAAAACACTTTCTATCGAGGTTGGAGTTGTATCTCATCAGAATGTCATTCAATTCCATTTGTTGTGCCTTTCCCATGTGTTTGAACTTGAACTCAATGTTTTGTTGGTAAACCCCTCCTTTTTGTTGGTTTTATCCCATCCAAATAGAAATGTATGTATATATACTCATATATATTATAGATATGATATTTATAATTAGTATAATATATACATAATATATTTTCTATATACTGTATAGATTATATATATATACTAGTATCTATCTATATATATATTAGTTTATATAGATAGATTCATGTTTGCCAATGAGTATCCATTAGCATCCATGCATCAATTCAGTACAGCATACCCATATAGCCATTGAGTATGATGTCAATCCCGGACCTCTCCCGGGTCTAAAGCAGGGTTTGTTGGATTGACACTGTCCATTTATCTCCACGTACCTCCATTTATCTACACTTATCTCCATGTATAATCGTGTCTATCCATTTCTATCCATATCATATATAGATATATATATATCTTAAATAAATATATATATATGTATATATTTATTTATTTATATTTATATTTATATTCCTCCACTTTTCCCACATGTCGCCCAGTCAGACCTGCTCGGGCCTGTTGCTGTGCAGGTGTGTTTGGACCAATTGGAGATCAAGGTCGGGCTGCTGAACCAAGAAGTGTAGCCAGTTATTGGGACAAGCCAGGAATACTTAACAGTGAGAGTTACACGTGATACCCCCAGTCATCATCCTAATAAGATGGATTTTCCATGGCAAAAACCATCCAGTGATAAAGGGGTATCCCCATGACTTCGGAAACCTCCAAATCAGTGAAGTCTCCCAGAAAGCCCAACAGCTACGACAGCTACCCCCCGAAAATGGGCGTCTGGCAGGATGGTATCGGACAGGCAGGGGACTTGCCAGCGGAACAGCGCTGCATTGTTCTGCCGGGTTCTTTGGAGATACCTTGGATCTCAAAATCTAGTTATGTGTCAAAACCCTCTACAGTACCCCTAACATCAAAATAGCTGGGATTTATGGATGCTCATCCCCTAACAACTTGTATCGGTATTGATCCACAGCCATATGAATGAGATGATGGACTGGGTAATAAATGGAATAACATGGTAACATGATGATAACTGATCCAATAGCATGGTAAAATCACTATAGATATATCACGGCTAGGAATGGGATGATGGACTATGAATGGGATTTACCCTTAGCTATGGGAAATCGATGACAATCACAATGTTTAATGGGTAAACCATTTAATGAATGGTCCATTTTCCATAGCTATTTTAAATTACCAGAGGTTACTATAATACATAGATATACATGTACTATTACCAGATGTTACTATATCATTTAAAATAGCTATATACATAAAATATGTATTTTCAATGTACCCCAGGATGTTTCTACAGTATTTTGATGGGCTGGGTTACCTTGAATACTCTAATACTATTTCTATGGTAGATTAATCTTCCGCCATGCATCAACATATATGGAAAGCTAAACCAACCAAACATCTGTGTGTTTGGCAGGGTATTTGAGATCGGCCATGGCTAACCATTGACATGGGGGAAAATCTACAGATGAAACTCTGTTTGCACCGTTTGTTTGGTTTCTTTTCTGGGTGACGTTGGTTTTTTTAGGACAGGGAAGTCTTGAATTTCCGGCGATTTCCTGAAAGGTATCAAAGGTTAGCCATGTCCTTGGCATGCGACCCATCCCCCAGTGATTAAACCAGCGATGCGATTTGGGATATTTACGAAGGACAGCTGGGAAATCGCTGGCCGAAATGAAAAATCCTCATTTTTGCTAGCAAGTCCAGGTATCAATTAACCCTCCAGCAAATAATCATGTTTGATGATGTTAATCCCTCTATTGGTTCGTTAACCAAGGATAAATTCATCATTAATACTTAATGGATGATCAAATTATTTTGGAAATCATCCATTCATCTTTGATGGTCTTCAATAGTCCCGGTTCAAGGGGCCACCTTCCCAGGGGCATCCGTTCACGGAACGTAACCACGGAAGTTTGTTACGTTCGGAGGGTTCGAATGTTGGTGATTAGCCACCACATCCAAACATAAGCCAGCTTTAAGATACTTTATCAGATATCCCCTTAGATTTCCATTTATTCTAAATCCATCTACTTCCTACATGTATGTAGAAATAGATATGATCTATTGATTTTTAATATATTACATCCTAATGAACAAAAGCTGGCACCATCCCATAGATGTCCCATAGATGTCCGGAACGGTCCGATTTTGTAGTAATACTTACCTGTCCCATAGATGTCCCAATCTACCGAATATGTATATATATATGTGTGTTTGTGCAAAAATAGGGTACCTAAAAATCTGGTGGACAGTCATAATTTCCCCATTTAAAAGAGCCGATTAGGAGTATACCCCAATTTCAGACAAGCCCATTTCCATAGTTCATTGGTTAAATCCCTAGTTTTTGATTGCCGAATCACAAAAATCCCATTGCAGGCTGTAGTCCTACATACACCCAATATATTGCCAAGATATTGGATATACACCTGTAGATACCAGCATAATATATCCAACATGTACATCCAATTCCTATGGAGCCAAAGACTTCCTGAGAGGATACTTCCCCCAAAAAAACTTCCTAAGAAGGTACGACTGGATCCATATAGGAAATTCGCAGTTAGCTAGATAGATATTTCCTGCATTTAGCTATGTTGATGGATTCATTTTATATCTATATCTATATCTATTTTTATTACATATATACATTTATATATACATACATGTGTGTTTGGCTATAAGTGTGTTTTTCTGTTACATACAAGTTGAAGCTATTGTGATTTATCCATCTGGCTAACATACTTGTATAGAGCTATTGTGGATGATCATACTCAGTTTGTTCGCTCCAAGTCTGCCGGGACCAGGGTCACGCCTTTTCCTTCGATGCCACCGAAGCATTGGCTGCCTCACACTGCTCCCGCGGCGCGTCTGCCACGGGAGCCGCACGGCCCCGGGGGCCGCCGAGACAAGGCGGGGAACCAACCGTCCATGTCCGGTGAAAACCATGGGACAATGGTGATTTCACCAAGAAACATGGGGATTTCATGGGATTTATCGCTGATTTCTGGCGAAGTTGGTGGAACTAGGCCCATCTTGTAGAGAACCATGGGGAATTATGGGAATGAACAAGGAATATCATAAAAATATCATTGCAATTAACATCTGAGGTTAGAATCTAATTGGTACAAATTCCTTTCAAGAATGGGTGGGTAATATCGAATGTCAGTGACTCAGTGACCTCCACTTTTTGGGTTGTTAGATTCCCCTAAAAAATCTGGTTGGTGGTTTGGATGTTTGGAACATGTTTTATTTTTCCATTCAGTTGGGATGTCATGATCTCAACTGACGAACTCCATCATTTTTCAGATGGGTAGGTATACCAGCAACCAGATATAACTATGGAACATCACCATTTTTAATAGGTAAACCATCTATTTCTTTGGGCCATTTTTAATGGTTATGTTAATGGCCTTAAAAAAGGGTTGGTCCATTTTCGACTTGTTGATGTCACTTTGAATCTGTTGGGATCGCCGCAGATCCGATGTCTTCAACGTCCACCACCTGCAGCAGTTGGAGAGGCGGTGTGGGGCGATGTGAAAAATGGCTCAATGTCTTACTGGTGCTTAGCAGGGAATCAGGGAATGATCCATAATCACTAGTAATAATCATCCCATTCCCATCCATTCCCTACTAAGCACCAGTAAGTCTTACTAGCTCAAAACATTGAGCCTATATTGAGTCTATGGAGTATCATATGTTTTAACATTGAGTCTATAACAATGTTTATATCATAGTTTACCCTTAAAAAACAACACATGATTGAGTTGATGCTGAGCAACAAAAGGACCAGCTGAAACATGAGGTGTTTGGATGTTTTTGGTGCACAGATGCTGGCGCTAGCAGAGCAGAGGAGATCCACAGCATGGGTTGTGAATGTGCAACGGCAAATGGAGGAACGATTAAGAGGTTCCCAGTAAACTTCCCAGACAAGCCGTCTAAACCTACGAACAGCTGGCCAATTCATGCCAGAAATAGGCGGCTGGTGGCATTTGCAAATTGATCATCCTTGGTTGATTAGGCTGTGGGTCAGAAAGCATCGGAAACATCCGAATTCTCGGGATTTCTATCGTACAGGTTTGGCAAGTACTTGGTAGTTGGGCACATAACCGCCACACATGGGGGCTGCAACGTACCAGGATGGCAGGTGAATGCCATTTCCGGGGTATCTGAATCTAGTCCCCCAATAACCCAAGTATTTCATGGGAAGTAAACTATGGTAAATTCAAAAATCAAACCCAGTGACCGAAGGTTTATAGAACCCCCTCATTCAGTTCATTGGTCATGAATCCTACCAGACATAAGGTTTATCTGATTGGGATCCGGTTTGTAAACCAAAGAATTGAATAAAAAATTCACCATTGACTATTCAATAGCTGGTTGGTGGTTTGGAACCTGAATTTTATTTGTCCATTCAGTCGGGAATCTCATCATCCCAACTGACGAACTCCATCATGTTTCAGAGGGGTAGGTCAACCACCAACAAGAATAACTATATGGAAAATCACCATTTTTAATAGGTAAACTATGGAATATCACCATTTTGTAGCTGGGTAAATACTAAATACGGCCATGGTAAATACTCTTTGTGGCTTTCGCCTCGCCAGATCCTTCGGGTCATGGGGCTGCCAAACGAGGCGGAGAGGGATTCGTTCGTCGGGTTCCGAGAAAGGAAGGTCTGAAAGAAAACTTGGTGGTCTCCTCAACTGGGTACCCCAGTTCTCATCCATTTATAGATGGGATTTTCCATGGCAAGAACCATCCAGCGAGGGGTACCCAAAAATGACTTTGGAAACCTCACAACTTGTGGGTTTTTAAGGCTTCACACATCAAAAATTACCAGCCATCAAAGTACGGAGAAACTGTAAGTTGAATATTTGGTGAAAATCAAGTGAAATCTGGTTGGTGATTTCAAACATTTGTTATTGTCCATAATATATGGGATAATCCTTCCGATTGACTTTCATATTTTTCAAGATGGTTAAAACCACCAACCAGAAATTTAGCGCCTAGGGCGCTGTTTTGCCGGTTTGATGGGTCTTTAAGACAACACACACAGACAGTCGCTTTTGGAAGAGTATCTACGGTTTGCCATGAGGATTGACCAATATTGACCCATTTTATTTGTCTTGAAGGCACCAGCAAAGTGGAAGGTTTGGTATCGGCACTGAGACCGCAGATGGTTGGAAATCGTTTGTTTAATGTTAACGCTGGATTAATAAACCCCGTTTACGGCTGTTTAATTGAACGGGTACCATTTAAATATCAGATTATGACTATTGGAAGAATACCCCCCTAATCCGGGGTTGACATTACTAAACAGCTGATTAATGTTTTCGATTGGTCATTTCTTGTTTCCAGCTATGATCTCTCCAATGTTTTTCAGATGTAATGCTCCGACAACCGCAACTGGGTAAACCTTGTGTGGTTAAATCAGGTTTAATCAACGCCCCAAGCTCTTGCCATGAATGGAAACATGTACTAAGCAGCTGCACTAAACTGTTTCATTTTGCAGGGCATCTAAGGAAACCCATCTATTCGTAGGTACAATCTACTAGTAATCCATACAGTACAAGGCTGATAAAGGATGATAAAAGACAATATCCTCAAGAATTTATGTGCAATTTAATCTGATGTAGATGTAATTTCATCTAAATATCTATATAAGTTCCATAAGTGTGTATTACCCTCTGGCAAGTTAACATAGACCCTGAAAATAACCCATGTTTAATGGAAACTATCTTCCAACCCCTATCTGCCAGGGTCTATGTTAATTTATTGGAGGGTATCTTGTATATCCATAGTGTCCCTATCTCTTTTTAACCCTATGGTATTCCCATGGGCTCACCCGCTTGATCTTTTTCAGGCATTCGCGGTTTTCATCCCATCCAAGAAAGCGCTGGAAGTGGAGGTACGTCCCGTACGTCCCGTCCATGCTCGACTGCCGAATGAGTGTTTGATGGGGGATTTATATGATGTTTTCTAGTTGAAAAGGGGATTTATGTGAGGTTTTCTGGTTGAAAAGGGAACTTATCCAGTTTTGATGGTTAACAACTGTTAACAATATGACTGATTTTGATATGCATGGGGATAATGAGTGTTTCATGGGGAATTGACCATCATTCAGTTCGCGGTTTTGTCCTGAAGCATCCCAAAATTGGGGGATACAATGGATACCCTCTGGTTATTTAACGTAGCTATGGAGAATCGCCATTTTTAATAGGTAAATCATCAAAAAACATCTATCAATGGGCCATTTTCCATGGCGAACTGTTAAATAACCAGAGGGTAAATGATGGTTGCTTCGTTGTTTTTTTGCTTAGGTCTATAGGGGATCATCGTCACCCATGAACTGGGCAAGATTTTTTTCAGGGCTGTCTAAGACTGGTTGGTGGTTTGGAACATGAATTTTATGACTGTCCATTCAGTTGGGAATAATCATCACAACTGACTTTCATATTTGTCAGCGGGGTTGAAATCACCAACCAGAAGAGTTTTTTGACCGTTATCATGGAAGCATGGCTAATGTAGTACACCGATGGATGTATGATGCTACCCTGTTGTGAGAAAAAACAAAATAATTCAGTATCATGAAATTGTTTAGGTGGAACTATATTGTGAGATTGTTTCTCAGACCCGCTCGTTTCAAGATTCAAATCGAACAAATATTAAAACAACAGCAACAACAACAACAATGAATTGAAATCCTTGCTAATCCTTATATGTTTGAAGGTCTATAAGAAAAATCAATTGAACGTAGATTCAAATGAATTGAAATCCGTTCTGATATCCAATCCTTAGACTTCTTTTAGATTTAAAAGAAAAATCAATTGAACGTAGATTCAAATGAATTGAAATCCGTTCTAATTTCCAATCCTTAGACTTAGACTTCTTTTAGATTTAAAAGAAAAATCAATTGAACGTAGATTCAAATGAATTGAAATCCGTTCTAATTTCCAAACCTTAGACTTCTTTTAGATTTAAAAGAAAAATCAATTGAACGTAGATTCAAACGAATTGAAATCCTTACTACTCCTGATATGGTTTTCGATTTAAAAGGAAAATCAATTGAAAGTAGATTGGCATCAATTGAAAAGCTTCTTTAGTTGATCATCCTGAGTTCCCCAGACCTGGTCCCAAGAAAATGTCCACTAGAATATACTGTACCATAATTGTTTGCGGGGGCCTACACTAATCAGCTTCCAACATTCCAACAAAAGAATGATGTAAGGCTAAACAATGCTGGATCTTTAATTTGGTCCTTGGTCTCAAGATTGGTTTAGTGGATGTCGATGTATGGGGACACATTTGACCTGTCTATCCTGGTGTTGCCGAATTTTCTTAACTAGCTCTCGATCTCCCATTGCTCAAATATTTTCTTCAGGAAGGCATTCTAGTTTCGCTGGAAAATTGACCCAACGATGCAACCCAAATTCGCAGTGGATCAGGATTCCTGGGATCCAAATTCTGATTTTGGGCTCGAAAAAACGGCATAACACTCCCAGACTGACCGATTTTTCAAGCGGCCCTGAGACCCCCACAGATGCCGAAACAACCTCTGGTTTCTTGCAAATCTTGAAAATCGAAGGATTCAGCAACCAAGGTTTCTATAGTGCCTCTCGAAAATCAGCCAGTGAGTTCGCCAACTTTTCAGCAAAAGCCAAGTGTTATTTTGCTGGTTTGTTGGCTTCTATACACCTATAGTTTATCCCTTGTTCAGCAAATTCTTCAAAGAATCATCTCAAAGTGGTTAATTCCAAGAACCCTAGTGGTTGGTACTTCAGTGGTATTTGTATGTTACACCCCCTAAATTTTCAGAAACCAAAAATTTACACCTGGTCACAGGTCTCGCAGACGCCCAGCGGGAACGTCGCCTGGGACATTATGTGACTTGGCAGGGGCTGCTAAACAGGTACCGAAAAAGAAGTAGGTTTAAGCCAGAAAAAATGGGGATTCAAGAGGTATTTACCAGCATTTTGCAGGAGGATGTTAATTGATGGTGGTTAAACTTCGCAGGATTGGTGGTGCTGCGTCAACTGGGAATGGGCCGGGGATGTGTTATTTTTAGACAAACCCAAAAAGCTATGGGAATGGCTATCATCCATGGTGAAATCCGCCTGTTTGGAGTCTTTCCTGTTTTGAGTTATAAACGGGATAGCCCAGTCAATTTGATACGAAAAATAGGGTTGGTTGCTTATTTGGATGTTAGTTTCCAATTAACTCCGTATATCACCGTATATCCATTGATTCTAGCACCAAACTTGATCATCACTATATTAGGACCGGATCACTACGTCTATTGTGACTATTTTTGCATTTTTCTCATATTATCACGCTCTGGTAATCTAACATGGCATGCCGGAAAATCGACCATTTAGTTGAATTTAGCTCAATGAATTTTCCATACATAGATGCCAATGTAGCTCAGGATTTCCCATTGTCAGTTTTTTTCATGACATATCCAAAATTGTCCATTGATTATGAACTATCCGTTAATAATACCATGCTGTTCCGTTATGTACCTGTAGTTTGTTTTCCTGTGTTTTACCTGATCATTCAAATAGTACATCGTTACCCATAAATAGCAATGATATCCTTGTGAGTTATCCTTTTTTGTCATTCTTTACTTTTTTTGTTACTATACTATTATTGATCGTGACTATAGATTTCCAATGGTTTATCAGTGCATCATTACTATGAATCATCATTATCTGGCTGGTGGTTTGGAACATAAATTTTATTTTTCCATATATTGGGAATGTCATAATCCCAACTGACGAACTCATATTTTTCAGAGGGGTAGGTATACCACCAACCAGTTATCCTCTACCAAAGTAAGAAATTTTAGCAGTTCGAACCTGAAACTGTGAATTTTTCGTGGAAGCTCATCTTTTGACCCCCTCTGTTTGGTAACTTAGAGGATCATCCGACTGACTAAGTGGTTCGGTTTCCGGGGATAGTGTAGCCACATGGGAGAACCCTCAGCGAAAAAAGGGGACCATCACAGCCTCCAGCAGATGATTTCCCCATGTTTTTCCTTTGACTTCGTAGGAATCCATGTGAAATTATGTGAATCTGATTTTTCATCATACATAATATATGTTATAATACAATATATTTATATATATATATATATTATATATATATATCTATATCTCTATTATTTATTATTATCACTTATTAGATATTATATATTATATCCTCTAGCTATCCTTGGCAGACTGAGGACGCTGCCTTGGAGCTCTACCGCGCGGTGCTGCAAAGGGAGCCACGGCACCGGGACGCCTTGCTGGGCTATGCGGATTGCCAGCAGGCAGGGCAAACGTTGGTGAAGATGAGTCGCTGGTTCACCCTTACCAACTTACCAACCATTAAAAATTGTGATTTTCCCATAGAAATAGTGGATTTACCCATGAAATAACCGGTTATCACCATGAAAATATATAACAATAATGGGTGATTGATGGTGATTAATGGTGAATTAATGTGGTTATAACAATAGTGAAGCATTTATAGATGATTAACAATATAGATTGGTAAATAACAGTTACAATCTCATGTTGGTATAACAATAATGAACCAACCAGATGGTATCCCATTTATAACCTGATGATAGGATGATATGGTATCCCAATGATAGGATGATATGGGATATAATTGGTATTTTAATAGTAATAGTAATAGTAATTAAATAGTAATTAATTAAAATACACCCAGCTCTATGGTTACTTCAATATTAATCCAATAATAGTGGTTCATGGTTACCATCTGGTTGTTTAACATAGCTATTGAAAATCCTTTTTAAATGGAGGTTTCTAGCTGGGAAAATCATCTATAAATGGACCGTTTTCCATGGCTATGTTAAATAACCAGAGGGTAATTGGTATGTCGGGCCATAACTTTAAGAAGTCTACAATCTCCAGTAACTAGAGCTATAAGATGTTATAAGTACCATAAACCATGGTTACTGCCATATATCTGCCACAAGGTGGTGTCCCAGTTCGTTAGCTAAGTTGGTAAACATAACTCCAATTTCACTATGGTGTTTGGGAGCTATATCTATACTTACTATGGTTTATAAACCAACTTATAACTGGGGGGAGAACACCTTGTAGAAACATGTAGAAACCACAGAGCAACATATAGAATAAATTAATTGACTCACTTTTAGACCATGATCGAAGGAAGTTTAGAAGTCAAACTTCCGACAATATGGACAGATGAAAAGCAGAGCAGGGAAGAGGCAGAGAGAAGAGAAAGATTAGAAGAGAGAAGATCAGAAGAGAAAGAGTCAGAAGAAAGAAGATGCAGATGGGCGAAAAGGTAGGAAAGTCGCGAAACACTGTGTTTTTCCAATGATTTGTGGCTCCGGAGAGTCGAAAAGTAGGCTCGCTAAAGCGGCGGGTGCGGAGCCAGCTGGCCAGATGAGAGATGAAAAATTGCACGCCGTTGTGGCGCGAAGCACATTTCCAAGTCAAAATGTACAAAACACACCAGCTCCGGACCACTTTTGGAAGTTGAGATGTCGAAAAAGTGCACGCCGTTGTGGCGCGAAGCACATTTCCAAGTCAAAATGTACAAAACACCATTTCGGACCACTTTTGGAAGTTGAGATGTCGAAAAAGTGCACGCCGTTGTGGCGCGAAGCACATTTCCAAGTCAAAATGTACAAAACACCAGGGTCGGACCACTTTTGGAAGTTGAGATGTCGAAAAAGTGCACGCCGTTGTGGCGCGAAGCACATTTCCAAGTCAAAAGTGTTAAAAACTGACGGTCTCGGACCACTTTTGGAGGTTCAGATGTCGAAAAAGTGTCGAAAAAGTGCACGCCGTTGTGGCGCGAAGCACATTTCGAAGTCAAAAGTGTAAAAAACTGAGGGTTTTGAGCCTTTTTTGACGTGACGATGTCGAAAAAGTAGACACTGATTAACTTAACTAACTTGACTAACTTAACTAACTTCACAAACTTAACTACCCTAACTTCGACGACAACAGCAACAGCAACAGCAACAACAACAACAACACCAACCACAACAACTACAACTACAACAACTACAACTACAACAACAACTACTACAACTAGAACTACAACTACAACAACTACAAGAACAACAACAACAACAGCAACAACAACAACAACAGCAACAACAACAACAACAGCAACAACAACAACAACTTGTAAAAACTCCTGCAGTAAAACCATGTAGTGTATATATCATCGATCTACTCTGTAGCGTTGGTTCAAAAGAGCTGAGTGCTGAACGGTTTGCGCCCCCTTTATAGTAATTGTACTATATTGTTGGCTGACCTGATAAAATACAGGTTATCAGCCGTAGTCTCACTACTTTGCTATGGGGACCCCAATTGACCATCCTCTCGCCGTTCCAGGGTCAGGTCCATCGGCTGTCGCTGTGCCCAATGTGGCCGGGGGCAACCCCGAGCCGATGGATGACGAAACAATGTTCCAACCCGTTGTCGCGTACTTTACCTTCATACAAAACAACCTGTCCCAGATTACTAGTGGGAATACCCTGCAAGTCATGAGGGAAGCTGAACAGAGGCACCTTCAGATAATGCATGGAGTAGTTGACTCAATTCGAAACGAATGGTCAAGTAGACTCGTAATGCAGGAGCAGGAGTATGAGCAAAGGCTGCAGGAGATTGAAGGTAAGGCCATTAGTGCCGTCAACGAGGAGAGGAAACGAGGCGACGAGATGGAGGTCAGGTTGAATCAGGCTCAGGCATCGAATGACAAAAGAATAGAGGATGTAAAGGCAGAGGCAAACACAAAGCATGATCAGAAAATCACAGAGGAAAGGCAACGTATCACTAGTGAATTCGAAGCTTCCTATGCACAGACAGTTGAACATGCAAAGAATGCCATAGCTGCCACAAAGAAGCAATATGAAGATCAGGCTGCAATTGATCAGGCCAGGTTCATCAGTTTGAGGACCGAGTTCGAGAACTACAAGAAGGAGATGGCCGACAAGATCAATGAGGCAGCGGCTCAGAACCTTAGCCTTCAGGACCAAATTGATGACCTTCAGGAGCAGTTAAAGCATGTTGCCAAAGCGCAGCATGCCTCCGTTCCGAGAGCATCCGCCCTGAATGCCGAGCCAGCCGCTACCACTAGCGTGCCCCACTTCAATATTGCCACTCCCAAAGCATCCGATGCACAGGCTGCCAAAGGCAGTGACGAGCCGATTCATGAGTTGAAGACGCCTGCAGTGTTGGCACAAGAAGCAAAGGCCAAGTTGGATGAGCTGCTCAAAGGTGGCAGTCCCAAGCAAAAGCCGGCGGTCGGCAACGACCAGCCCCAATTGCCAACGCAGTCAGGGTTTTTCACTCCCACTGAAGCTATCAAAACTCCCCCAAATGACTCCCCCAAGAGCGTAACCAAGCAACAGCAAGTTATGGGTCCCTCAGATCTTATTGAATTGGTGAAAGCCTTAACCCAAAGGGAAGAAAAGGATAAGCCAAAAACTAAGGAGGCCGAACTCATCAAGCTGAACAACATGCCCGCTCCGGAGTCGTATAGGACTTGGAAGAACCATGTCAGGGATGAAGTGAAAAGCTGTTCAGATCGCCCGGATGAGGCGTGGCTCTGGCTCAATGAAGTGTACGATCAAGAGTGCACCAGAGAGCAGTTGGAGAAGAAACTCCAAGATCCTGGAAAGTTCCTCACGCTGGATACAAAGTTATCAGCAGCGCTCACGCGCTCAGCCGGAGGGGACCTCGCAACTAGGATCTTGAATTTCAAGGAGCAGCAATCCCGAAAAGGCATCCAGGTCAGGGGAAGGTATGTTCTGCTCATGTTTGAGGACTACTTCAAGACATCAGAAGAAGCAGGTAGCCTTTACAGAGTAGAAGATCTTTTGGGTGTTGTCAAAGTAGGCGATACTGTCCAGGATCTCCGAAGATTCATCAACAAATGGGATGCTACCCTAGCTGGCATGGCTGTCACCCCCGATGATGCTGTGTTAAGGGACATCTTGTTGAGGCAGATCCGACCAAGTCAGTTGCTGAAGTATGACATTGAGATGTTTGACCGTGCTCATGAGAAATCCCATGAAAAGTCTTATAGTTTTCTTCACCAATCCATGAAGAACTTGATCGATCGCGAACGATTGAGGGAGAACAGGAACCGCATCGCGGAGAAGAACAAGGCTGGGATCAAGGACACGAAGGCCGCACCCGCCAAAGGCGATGGTCGTGGTGGCCGAAAGGGTTCCCCAAGTCGTGGTAGATCGCAGGAACGAGGTGGCAAAGGTGACAAGATTTGCTATAAGTTCCAAAAGGGTACCTGTGATAAGGGGAAGAAATGTCCATTTAAGCATGTCAAGGATGACAAATCTCGAACTCAATCACCCAGAAGAACCAAAACACGTTCACCATCAAGGGGCAACAAAGATGATAAGGGGAAGAAAATGTCCAAGGAAGAAATGGCTAAAACCCCATGTATCTATCATGCCCAGGGAAAGTGCAGACGTGGTGACAAATGTTTTTATAAGCATGATGACAAAGCTGCTGCCGCCACCAAAGACACCAAAAGGGCCAATTCACCCGCTCCCAAAAAGAAGAGCAAGGACTCCACAGCCGCTCCATGCCTGATCCAGAAGTTTGCATGCATCGTCCGAAAACAGCCGAAGGCAACTTCGTGCTCCGATGAGTCAAGCGTCAGCATGAAGCGCCTTAGATTCCGAAAGGCCCCACATGTGATCGAGGTGAAAGCAGTTGGTCGTCAAGTCCCAGTCAAGCACCGTCCAAGAGAGTTCACTGAGGTGTACAAGACAGCTGAAGATGTTCCGGTTTCATCCAAGGTTGAACAGCATGAGGCTCAGGTTCGTGCAAGACAGCTTCAGGAAACTGTGAAACTTCATGATTCAGATGTTGCACCTAGTTGTGGGTTTTGTTGTTGGAATGAGGACACACGTGACATCACATGCAAAGAGTGCAGGTTCATTAGCGGTCCCAAAGCCCTTAGAGACATTGGTCGATTCCCGTCAATTGCCACAGCCGCGCCAAAGGCCGGCGTTAGTTGGCTTGTCGACTCAGGTAGTGAATCCGATCTTGTGTCCAAAGGAATGCTGAGGGATGTCAATGCCAAGAACTGCCGTGCAGCCGAGCATCCGATTTCCTTAGTCACAGCCAATGGTTCGACCGAGGCAAACGAGGTTGCTGACGTCAAGTTGTCTGCATTGCCAGATCCCGTGCATCCGTATGTACTTGATCATACCCCAGCTGTGCTCTCCGTAGGAACGAGATGTGTAGATCAGGGTTACAGTTTCGTATGGCCTGCCAATGGCAAACCAAT